CGCAACAAGCCTAGCTTTGAAGGTCTCAACCTTCCCATCTGATCCTCTCTTTCTCTTATAGACCCACTTGCATCCAATGGCTCGAACGCCACTGGGTGGCTTTACAAGATCTCAGACCTGATTAGTGTCCATTGACTCTAATTCAGACTTCATCGCCTTTTGCCAAGACTCTGCGTCCCGATCATGGAGTGCCTCATTGTATGTCCATGGGTCGGTTTCAAGAACGTCCGACACGACCTCAGAAGGCTCTCCTAGACCCATGAACCGTTCGAGTTGCCGGACAACCCTCCCACTACGACGAGGTACTACTTGCTCAGGTGCATCATCAGCGATACGTGTTGCAGTACTTTGTGGTGTAACATCTAGCGCACTCGGTATTGAAGTACTCACTCCATTTAACTCCTCAAGAACATGTCTACTATTGGGCTTATGATCTAAGACATAGTCTTCTTCCAAGAACCTAGCATTCGTGCTAACGATTACTTTCTGGTCCTCAGGACTATAAAATAGACCACCTTTCGTTTCCTTAGAATATCCCACAAAAAGCCTTACTTCTGATCTCGGTTCCAACTTATCAGTATCGGTTCTCAGCACATGTGCTGGGCTACCCCAAATCCTTAGATGTCTTAGACTGGGCTTGTGCCCAGACCACAACTCCAATGGTGTAGACAGTACTGATTTAGAAGGTACTCTATTCAGAATGTACACCGCTGTTTCTAGGGCATATCCCCAAAACGAATCTGGTAATGTACTATAACTCATCATTGCCCTAACCATTTCAATAAGAGTCTTGTTCCTCCGTTCTGCTATGCCATTCTGCTGAGGCGTGCCAGGCGCAGTCAGCTGGGATGTAATCCCATTATCCGTCAAGTAGCTCCTAAATTCATTCGAGAGATATTCGCCACCACGATCCGATCGTAAAGACTTGATACTTTTTCCTAACTGCTTCTTCGCAACTGCCTTATACTCCAAGAACTTCTCAAAGCAATCAGACTTGCGGTGCAGAAGGAAAATGTACCCATATCTCGAGTAATCATCGATAAA